CCAGTAAAACTCCATAAATGCGTTAAAAACTGGAATGACAGTAGCCAGTCTAAGGAGACTGACATAATTGTTGAAGGGGTTTGTCAATCTGAATCAAAACATGGTGTCCGCTATATGAGGCTTATATGGGAAGATGATTCGTCTGTCTTCGCTAGGATAAGGGAGCAAGTCCCAATTCGGGGGAAAGATGTTGAAAAAAATGAGTGCTCAAACCATGCATGTAAATGTGTACGCTCTAAATTAGAGAAACTTGTGGAAGAAAATTCGGCATACAAGGGCAAACACCATCTCACCAAGGTTACAAGAGTGAGAACTGTAAGTTCAATACGGTGTGCTATTCGCATGAAAACAAATGAGGCTGCTTCAACTGGAAATAGACAGTTAGCAGTACAAAATCTGAAACTTGATATCATTCAGTCAGTCCATCATGTTTTTGGTCATCATGACAACTGCCCGGACTTCTGAAAGGCCAAACCTAAAGTAGATACTGCAACAACATTATCAACTGAAGTAGGTTCTGCACAGTTAACAGTTGAAACGGTCGAAGATGTAATATGTGACCAGGTCAAAATGTGGTCAGAAGGATCCTCCGTAACGGCACAGGACGAGTCCCGCTTAGGAACGTCTACAGTTTACAGTAAGGTGGAGAAGTTCCTCCTCAAAGATATGTCAAACATCCTGGCCACCATTGCAGATAAAATCAGCAGACTTATTGGATGCATTACAACCAACCTAGTGGAATGTTGGATGCATATCCGTTCCAAATTTGATTGTGGCAAAGTCTATAAATTATGTAATAGAGGATCGTGGCATAATAGGTGTTATGGGGTGTACTACGTATGAATCTAGGGCCACAATGGTTCCCAAAAATGTGGAAAATGACAACTGCAACTGAACCTGGCAACAAATTCAACAGTTTGTATGAAAAAAGGGAAAGACTGAACTTCAACACAACCGTTCACAAATCAAAGCCAGAAACAAAGACAAAAATATGGAAGAGACAGATGAGTAGCGTTGCACAGTCCAACACAAAGAAAGCCCGACTATCATATGGACCTGAAGCTTAAGATGTGTCCGATGATGTGATACCTTCAAAATTAGAAGATCTTCAGAACACTTTCAATGAAACAAACATCAACTTAACCTGTGGTAAGATAAGCGACATTGAGAAGACAACACTCAATCAGTCTCTGTCGGGCTTGTAGCAGAAAGAAGAAAAAAGATTAACAGCATCCAATTTTGGCCCTATCGTTCGTCGAAATCCTTCTTTACCTGTCTTAAGTATAGTCCGAAAACATCTCTACAACAAATTTCAAGGAAAAAATGGATTACTTCAGGAACACAACACTTTGAAAGAATATAAATTGAAAAACCCCAGAGGAAAACATGAATGTGGAAATCGAACCTGTTGGGCTGGTTATTGACAAGAAATACAAATTCTTGGGAGGATGTCCAGAAGGGAAAGTTTGTGTCAGTAATGGAGAGGTTGGATTGGTGGAAGTAAAGAATGTCCTTTACAACAAAGCATTGACATTATATCAAGCTGCAGAAAGTCAAAAGCAATTATGTCTAGAAATTAAAGGTGGCAAACTATCTCTACGAGGAAAACATGATTATTTCTTCCAATGCCATGGGTTGTTGAATGTGTGCGATTATCCCTGGATAGATTTGATTGTCCGAACATGTGAATGTGATCCTTATCAACTATACGTCCAGAGAATTCATCGGAACAAGGAATTTTGGGAACGCAACATGCTCCCTAAACTTACAGATTTCTATCATAAGGTTCTCTTCCCTGAATTAACAGTTTCAAGAGAGGGTAAAAGTCCAGGAATAGGAGAACCAGGTATTTGGGTGAGATTATACATTAAATTGGTATATAACAGGATAAGAATGTTGAATGTAAACAGTCATTCGTAAAACAGTGTACTGGTTAAATCCATTACAGGACTAGGGTCCGTACAAACCTTGAAAAGTGCTTAGTTTTGAGAGGGGTGCTTGTGCTTTTTGTTTTTCTGTACACGTCTCCATTTTAATTACAAAATTGAAAAGAAGTAAAAAATATTATTCGGCATTCGCGTTCTCAAAACAACTGTTGTTGAATTCTCCCAACCTGTTGTAATTTGACCTTTTTAGACCTTTTAATACCGAGTGAAATAATATTATACAACAGAAACCCGACAGTTTTATCCCAGAATGGCTACTGACACAGAATGTTTTTAATAGGCCTAAATAAGTGAATTTTGAAGTCGAGGTATTTTGTTACATGATCATACATTTTACAAACTTTCGAATCTCATATTATTCAAATCAAGCACTTTATTGTTTAGGGGAATATGTTATGGCAAAACGTACACATTTCCACGTGTCGTTTGAATTTAACCAAGACAAAGTCGTCTAACGCTACAAACTGCCAGAATCAATGGATTTTATAACGAACTATTCACTAAAAGAAGGAACGTAAAATAAGCCACGTTTAGATAAGTTTATAGTATAAAAATCAACATAACAAAAGAGAAAAAATAACAAAAACTGGAATTATAAAAGATAAAACCGGAAATGGACAGTGGGTGCATACTCGGATCTTTCTGTGCCTTATCTCTTTTATTCATATTTTTCTTTTAAAAAAATATCGCGCATTTATTAAAGCATATACATTTTGATTTTTTTATTTAATTATAAAACAGCTAAATGAAAAGACATACAGATTTTCATATAAATCGGCTATGCATACAAAAATGAGGGTTGATATTGTATAAAGAAATTACCCTCGAAAATCCCAAAAGTGGTCTCTTAATACAGATGGTCTCGTTATAGAGGTAGCTAAGCAATATAGTAGAGGCGATGATCATAATACAGTCCCCTGTGGTAGGTGTTAAATATAAGTGGAGGTAAGGACCATTCAACAGTCCCCTGTGGTGCATGTAGCTAAATACAATGTAGTAGTATATGTTATAAAGAGGAGAGCGAGAACATTTTGCAGTGCCAGAGCCAGCTGATAAATAAAGGGGAGGCAATGATCATGCTGCATTCCCTTGTGGTAGCTATACATATAATATGTTTTGGATATTAGGGGAGGTAAGAATCCTACTACGGTCCCCTGTGTTAGTCAAATGTAGTAAATGGGAGACTGGGATCCTGCTACTTACCCCTGTAGTAGCTGTATAATATAGGGGGCAGGGATCATACTACAGTCCCCTGTTGTAGCTGTATAATATAGGGGAGGTAGATGTCCTGCTACAGCCCCATGTGGTAGCTACATATTATAGGGGAGGCAGGGATCATACTACAGTCCCCTGTTGTAGCTATATAACATAGGGGAGGTAGATGTCCTGCTACAGTCCCATGTGATAACTGTATAATATAGGGAGGCAAAGATCATACTACAGTCCCCTGTTGTAGCTATATATTATAGGGGGGGGGGGCAGAGGTCCTGCTACAGTCCCCTGTGGTAGCTATATATTATAGGGGAGGCAGGGATCATACTACAGTCCCCAGTTGTAGCTATATATTATAGGGGAGGTAGATGTCCTGCTACAGTCCCATGTGGTAGCTACATATTATAGGGGAGGCAAAGATCATGATATAGTCCCCTATGGTAGCTATATACTATAGGGGAGGCAAGAATCTTGCTACAGTCCACTGTGGTAGGTTTTTACTATAGGGGAGACAGGGAACCTGCTACAGTCCCCTGTGGTAGCTATGTAATATACCAGGTCAAGGATCTTGTAGACTGGCCATCGTCTCTAGAATATTGAATAATTAAGAAAACAATTTTTACTCTAAAAATCACTTGGATGTCTGATTCTAGAGACCCTAAGTTCTAAACTAGGGGGAGATAAGCTAGTAGTAAAATGCAGCCGAGAAATTCTTCATAAAACTTAGGGGCTGGTAGTCTAGGGATCCTGCTGCATTCTCTGTGGTAGCTATGTAACCTAGGGGAGGCAGATATATTACAACAGTCCCTTGTGGTAGCTATGTAATATAGGGAAGCAGAATGCCAAACACCAGTGATATCAAGGTAAACATTTTGTCATATTGACTCTACATTTGACCAGTATGTTATAACTGTTTTCCAGGAAATGTTAAAAAAAAAATGCCTGAAGACGCTGACGAGTGCATAGATTGCAACTCACTTTGTTTGAAAACAAAGAGTTGCGCTCTCGATATACTCTGCTCTTAACTCTCGGATTTTCTCGTGACAAAGTCGAAAGGTCACGGTAGGTATAATTTATTTTGAATAGTTTTAGACATTCAAAAAGAACCGATCTTAAGACTCATACACCAAACTATCTGTACACTGTGGTACATGCATTTCTGATTATCAAGATTATCAAAAGACTATTCTTGAGGAATCGAAGCCGTTCCATTTTACCATTACGATACAGCGCGATTCACCTTTACCTTAAATCCACGATAAATACAACATTAATCTTATCTTACATTGGTGTATGCATGCAAATACATGAACATTGATTATGTGTCTACACGATTTTGTATTTTTTCACAGTGTATATGATTATGTCATGATCATCCATTCAATTCGTTGTCACCGACTCATGAGCGCATTTTACAAGCAAAATCTATGTGTGACATCAACTTAGTTAAAATACATGTCACTCTGGTAAAACAAACTAGCTGCTTTCTGCTGACTCGGCTATGGAGAATTTCTCTTTAACTCATTCGGTAGAGCATAAGACTAGTAAGCCAGAGGGCCCGGGTTCGACTCCTAGCGGAGGCGTAGAAAAAATGCTTAAACATATTTAGTTTGTCTTGTGCCAACGTAGGATCACATCAATTTTTATAATAAAAACATTTTCATTTTTTTTTAAATGATTTCTGCAGATAGGATAGTTCAAAGGTCTGGTACTTTATATTTCAATAGACAAACTCATGTTATTAAAAGAAATAAGGAACAAACTGACACAGAAATAAGAAACAAACTGACACACCCTCTCATTATCTATTCCGGATATTGCGTCATCGTTTGGATGGTGCGGTCTAGCTATAGATGTTGACACATTTCAGTTAACTATTCAGGTTTACGCCGCTCGCAGTCAATACAGATAGCTCTCCACTTCAAACAGATCACTCGTCCAGATCTCTCAGCATCAGAACTAGATGTCGGTTTCTACTCTGCGCGTCACTCTTAATGATGGAAATACGATGCCCCTATTTGGGCTTGGGACTTGGCTGGTAAGTGAAACATTTGTTAGTATGATATAACGATATTTATTATATAAAAAATGACAAAACGACGTCAGTAAAAAATGAACTACATGGGTTAACCCTGCAATATTCACGTTAAGTTAAAAGGTACCACTGCATAATAATATTGATGACGTCAACAATAAGCTCAGGACATTCATATCTTATATGAATGCCATCTGAATGAAGTAGAATTATGTAGTCGCTATTTCATGTGATGGTAAATATAACCTTACTGTGTGTTGTATATAGGTTTTCACCATATTTTCTAGAGATCAATTGAATAATAAAAAATGTAATATTTACAGTCACTATATTAACTAATTAGGTAAAACACGGAATCATTTAATAATTTAATTTTAAATACACATGCAAATCTTATCACATTCACATTTATCCTATAGTTCCCATTTAATAGTATTTCAAACTACCAAATATAGGGATTAAATCAGAACTGTTCAAGTGTTGATGCAAGTATAAACGGGGGGAAATTTACTTACATGTACACACCACATGAGCGGCCGTATAGTCAATGATTTTTTATTTGATTCTGACAAAAACAAACAATTTTGCACGAAACACTTCTTTGTGCAGTAAATTTCGTACGTCCATCTCCAGGCAATTTCAACCAATCAGAAGTTTGAATTTACAAATACAGCACCACACATTGCGATGACGCCATCACTTTTTGCGTTGCTTGATTTTTAGGTCATGCGTTTTTAAATGAAAAAGGTTTTAGCATTGGAGTATTAGGCAAAATTAAATTATTTGCAACTGCTATGCAAATAAAACTCAGCATGTATCAATACTATTACAGTGTAAGAAGGAAGAACTTAAGACGGCCGTTCGGACCGCTCTAGACTGTGGGTATCGCCTCATTGATACAGCCTACAACTATCTGAACGAGGAAGCGATAGGGGAGGTCCTAGAGGAGTGTTTCAAAGCTGGCAAAGTGACAAGGGAAGAACTCTTCATCAGCACTAAGGTATTATAAACCAGTGGGATTAACCACAAAATATCAGCAGTAAATCGGTATGTGAGAAGAACTGGTAAATATTTTGTTGTGTTGTATTTTATTACATCCCATTACATTCCACATACGTTTTAATGTAATCTAAAATACATTTTTAATAAAAAGAGATAACATTTCCCAACATTTAAAAGCACTCATACCAGGATTGAGGTTAATAAAAAAAAATGTCTCAATGTCCAACTCAGCTTATTGCTAAGTCTGTCTCAAAATGAGAAATACTTAATAAGCCATTAATAACGGGTGATTTATCCATTTGCAAAATGTTCGATATCCAAGTGCCAATCATTTTTATATGCAAATGCATGAAGTATAAACTTTTTTTATCAAATGGTCTCTGTATCAAATTGTGTATAAGAAACTTAATATATACAAGGTTATTTACAAAAACACATATTGATTGAAAAATCAAAAAAATCAGCAATTTGATTTTTTCAATTTCATAACGAACACGGAAAATATATTGAAAATTCTATTCACACATTTAACTACATTATATCTTTACTCTTCGCCACCTGAAGCTAATTATTGAACATCTACTAGATCAGCACATAACTTTGAAATATCCGTTTAATGCAATTGGCTTGTAACTAACCTTGCTTTTCTATACTTAATTGGTTGTACAGGGTGTTATGTCCCCTCAACAGTTAAGGACTTCCCACCCTTCGTAATTCAAATGTTGTTCTTGTAATGTCAATGCTGCAGTGTAACTCAAAATAACACTGGGTAAACCATAGTACACGTATGTCACGATGATAGATAATGTATGTAAACACACGATATCGATAAATGTGTAGTCACGCGTACTTCAGAAATAAAGATTCCGATACAAAAACATAAATTGACTTACGGAAAGATACTGACATGAGACCAGACGACTTCAACAAGGTCATATACACACTTAATAAACTCATCCAGACAAAAGCAGACTTGCAATTTTTTATTTTTGTTATGCATATCACATCTATATATATTGCTCAACCCACATATAAAACTTTTGAAACTTCTGCCACCTAAATATCCAACCAGCAGGCCCCGAGGCACCTTCCTATTAAATCTTCTGCCCAAAAGGGAAAACCCCACAATCTATTTTTGATTTGGTTACGTGGTCCCTTAAGGTCGTTTAAGGACGTGTCTTTGTACATGTGTGTTGTGTATGCGTGCATGTATGTGTGTCTGTGTGCTGGAGGCAGGGTATGTTAGTGTAGTTGCCTCCTTGTTATAGCGCGGATCTGATGCCGACTTTATAGTGCTATCTCACTGAAATACCATGCCGAAGGCCCCCAGTACAGCATTCCACCCGGTCACATTATACTGATAACGGGTAAACTATGGCAAAATATAAAATGTTTATAAAAAAAATCAACAGACTCTATTGATTAACAAAATTCCTTCATACTTGTATTTACAAACATTTTATTGTTTTTATCTTATTTTTAAAGCTCGCCTTCATCTACAACAGACCTTCTGATGTCGCATTTTCAATGTCAGAGAGTCTGAAGAAACTAAATCTGCCGTGTGTTGATCTTTACCTAGTCCATGGTCCTATGGCATATAAGGTAATTATAAAAATAAATGTATATTTCAACCTGATAAAATATTAGCCCATTTATACCGACTCGGCTAGGGAGGATTTCTCTTAAGCTCATTTGGTAGAGCGTAAGACTAGCGGAGGCATTGAAAAAAATGGCCTCTTTTGTATTGGTGCCCACGTTGAGACCCGGGTAATATTGACAAATATACTCAACGTCACAAGAAACGCTTTGAGCCATGGCAAACTCGGGACGAGTTCTTTTCTGAAAGGGGGGGCATATATCACCCTGGTAAAATACTAGCCGCTTTCTACCGACTCGGCTAGGGGAAATTTCTTCTTAGCTCATTTTGTAGAGTGTACGACTAGCAAAACAGAGGTTCTACTCCTGGTGGAGGTATTGAAAAAAAAAATCCCTGTTACATGTATGTCGCATTTGTATTAGTGAAATATCAGGAATTATTCATTAAATAAAAACGGATTTCTTCATTACGAAATGTTATATATCTTCTCATATATAGTAGGAATCCTCTACAATGCAATAATTGTACCTGGCAGTGGTGCGCAAAATTTTGGAGAACCAGTTTTTGATCTTAAAAATCGCGATATATTAGCCCCGCGAAATTAAACAGCTATTACAATAAGTTCCACATGCTATAATTATATTATTATATGTTATTTCAGAAACCTGATGACCCTGATGACGTCTTCCCCATAAAAGACGGCCGACTTGACCTGGAAGATGGGATAGATATTGAAGGTGTTTGGAGAGTATGTTTTTCTTGTCGCGTGTTCATGGATTCCCTGCTCTAGTAATGGCAGTAAACCTAAAAGAGAACTGTTGTACATTCAATGTATTTTTAATAAATATTGTTTTAGACGTTTTTGCACTACTATATATTTACATATTTATATATTAGGACATAAACTCAATGGACTTCGCTAAATTAACGTAAAGCAAAATAAATACGAATAGCACCATATTGGATTTTGTGGCTTTTTTAAGTACAGAAAGTAATTTATCAGAAGATATAATATAAATAAAAAAAAAGATACACGCAATATCTTCAAAATTGCTATTGTTTCGAAAGCAGTATGATCTTTTAAAATGAAAAACAAAACATGAGAATTAATGGGAAAGTTTATCGATATTTTATCAGGAAGTCTGCTCATTTAATCCCTCGCGGCAGTCATTTCTAAAAAAAAAATCTTAATCATAAACATACTTAACTTCCGTTTATTTTCCCTCCCATTTCAAACGACCTGTAATATTTCGGGGATGTTTTCGTTCACCATGTTCAAAAACGGTTTCACTGGTATTATTTATAATAATGATCTTGGTTTTAGGAAATGGAAAAGCTTGTTGATGAAGGGAAGACTAAAAGTATTGGCGTATCAAACTTTAACGTTGCACATATGGAACGGATTCGCAAGATCGCACGCATAATGCCTGTCACAAACCAGGTATATATATCAGACACTTGTTTATATCTAATTTTACATGTTCAATGTTTGAAAGTAACGGTCGAATTTGTTTGAATAAAGGGAAAGTAAGTTGTTTCGAGTGGCTATACTGGCGATTTGAACATGAAATTTGTTTTGAACTCGAGACCGATTCTATCACAGATTAGAATATAGTCCGTATCCAATCAAAACACGCGTTGCAAACGAATTCATTCAAATGACAAGGATTTTTTTGGATTGCTATTCTGTCAATATCATTTCAAACACGTAAAAACACACTAAGGATACCAGTACAACTGCCAAAAACTGCAACGAAGTACATGTATTGCAGATATTGTGTCCAGCACAACTACAGCTTTAAATAAACCATACCTTGCAGGACTTTCATGAGATAAGATAAAAATGAAATAAACAAAATATTATCAACAACAGAGTTCTGAGTGTAAAAACACACCACATACCTGCTAGACCTGGCTTCAAACCCTGAACTGCGGACCTTAAACCCATCGCGCTAACCGATTGAGTCATCTTGTCGACAAAAGTGCCCTAGCCCAACTGTTCTGCAGTTATAACTCAACAAAAGTTAGTGGGAAATGGGGAAGTCACTGCATATAGAAAAATCACAGTGCAGTGGGACAGGGATCCTTAAGTTATTAGACATTTTACCGTATCTAAATATTTAAATATCGATCTGTGTCGATATGTCATGATTATTTTTTTTCGAATTTAAAGACGCTTACGCCTCGGTTTGAATTTTGTTACAGAATCTTAGCCTTTGACTGAGTTAACCCGATCTCACTCAGTTACAGGTAATAGATGTAATTAATCTCTATTTCTTCAGGTGGAGTGTCATGCTTACCGCTCGCAGACAAAACTTGAGGAATACCTACATAAGTTCAACATTCCTATAACGGCTTTCGCGCCAATAGGATCTCCCGATAGAGGCGCTTCCAAAATGTGAGTTTACTTGACCATGAACTTATGTCAGGGCATAACGGTTTATTTATTTTTTACACAAGAAAGGAATGGGTTTTATTGTAGTTCAATTAGTGAGTCCATTTACTCAGTTTCTTTATTTCCGAGAGCCATCCGAGCATAGGTTAAATTCAAACAATAACATCATGTTATAGTACACGTACAGGAGAGTATGTTACAATTTTGAATTACTTAACCCAAGGTAAACTCTACCATAGCTTTATCTGGATGAGTCCATTGTGGTCACAGTGGTGAAAGGGTTAAGTGCAGAGTGAACTTACAAAGTACATAAGTAATTTTCCATACCAGACATACACAATTCTTTTATATACGAAACGGCAAACATATATCAACCCTATTGATTGCTTAGTTCGCATAATTGTGAAACGTTAGCCAATTGATGTAATAAACAAAGGCTTTTATTACCTCCGTGATCAATTCGATCGAGAGAGAGAGAGGGGGTCCCAGCTTGAATATATTTAATGTTTGATCGTGGTAGTGATCTTTTCCGACACGGACGGCACTTGTAACACTGTCCACTATTCGTAATATTTTACATTTCCAATGTTCATCACTTCCCGTGCCACTGTGCCTTCTCCTTGTACATCCCATTCCTTCTGGTATTTGCGTTTCACTAGTGCCGTCTGTATCGGGGAAGATCAGAAATACGACTCTTCAACATTTCAGATAAAAATGATTGCCGACTAATTGATTACCACTTTGACGTTAAACATACTTTATTGACCAAAATTGGAAAATAGGATTTGGCACAAGTTATTACAACTTATGAAGCCATCTCCTTACAACAATAATTCAAAACAACAGATGATGATACAGACTGTCAATTACAATTCATAATAGTATGAAGCGATTTTTAAAGTAACACATACACAAAAAAAAAACATATGTTAAATTCAAGTTCATAATCGATAAATGTTAAAATCTTCCACTGGATCTAATAAAAGTTTGCACTTGTTTGAATACATCACAATTTGTATCCAAAGCCAGATTTTCATTTCCAAACAGTAATAATCTCAGCGTTAAATAAATGTACATTTAAATGATGTATATGATCAAAAAGTACAGTACGAGCATTTGTGTAAGGTTGACATATTCAAAGAAGAAGTGATAGACATTTTCGCAATGGTAGCCACAATTTATACAATTGGAGTCTTGGACCAAGTTTGCACGATCAGTTTTGAGAGGACTGCATTCGTGTTTCCGTCTGGTATGAAGAATGTTTAGTTTTCTGTCACCACGTAGGTAATGGGGNTGGATCTAATATTATAGTCTAGAGTATTCCACAATTTTAATAAAGAGGGAAAGAAAGATAAACTTTTAATTACCAACATAGACAATTAATACCAAGATCGTACTTAAAAACAGTATAGCTTAATCTGGTCTCTCCTCCGTCATTGTTGGGATCATGTATCTCTTACATTTGTAACTTTAGGTATTTTCCTGCAGATGCTGTTCCTTTCAAGCCTGCCTGTAGTTTACTTGTTTCGTTTAGTATCGTTAACGTTCATTAAAATTGTGTTGCCAATGAGTTACAGGTGACTTTTTGGTATTGATAATATTCATAAGTAAACAACACTGTAGCATGCGCTCCCTTTCATGCAGAAATTAATCAGACGTTTTCATCGTATATTAAAAAAAAAGTAGTTGGCCATGCGAAGAAGATTTCAATCGTTTGAATATATTAATGATGTTTTTGCAGGTTTGTAGTAGAGGCAGACACACCTGTGTTGTTGAACGACCCTGTGATTGCAGAACTTGTGACAACATACAATAAAACTCCAGCCCAGGTAGTTTTACGATTGCCCCAGATTTGTCGTTTAGCTTTGAGTCATTTTTCGATACCTTTACCATGCTTAAAGATGATATAATCAATATTAATTTACATTTTGTTTTTAGCAATAAAACACTTGAACATTTATCTTAAATAGTACAATTGAGTGCTAATAATAGGCTCGGACACTGTGAGTGATATCTGCAGCGGAATGGTGATACATAAATCATGTTGTTGTGTGTTTTAGATACATAAATCATGTTGTTGTGTGTTTTAGATATATAAATCATGTTGTTGTATGTTGCAGATACATAAATCATGTTGTTGTATGTTGTAGATACAAAAAACAAATCATGTTGTTATATGTTGTAGATACATAAATCATGTTGTTGTGTGTTGTAGATATATAAATCATGTTGTTGTATGTTGCAGATACATAAATCATGTTGTTGTATGTTGTAGATACAAAAAACAAATCATGTTGTTATATGTTGTAGATACATAAATCATGTTGTTGTGTGTTGTAGATACATAAATCATGTTGTTGTATGTTGTAGATACATAAAACAAATCATGTTGTGATATGTTGAAGATACATAAATCATGTTGTTGTGTGTTGTAGATACATTAATCACGTTGTTGTATGTTGTAGATATATAAATCATGTTGTTGTATGTTGTAGATACATAAATCATGTTGTTGTGTGTTGTAGATACATTAATCACGTTGTTGTATGTTGTAGATATATAAATCATGTTGTTGTATGTTGTAGATACATAAATCATGTTGTTGTGTGTTGTAGATACATAAATCATTTTATTGTATGTTATAGATACATAAATCATGTTGTCGTATGTTGCAGATACATAAATCATGTTGTTGTATGTTGCAGATACATAAATCATGTTGTTGTATGTTGTAGATACATAAATCATGTTGTTGTGTGTTGTAGATACATAAATCATGTTGTTGTATGTTGTAGATACATAAATCATGTTGTTGTATGTTGCAGATACATAAATCATGTTGTTGTATGTTGTAGATACATAAATCATGTTGTTGTGTGTAGTAGATACATAAATCATGTTGTGTGTTGTAGATACATAACTCATGTTGTAGTGTGTTGTAGATACATAAATCATATTGTTGTGTGTTGTAGATACATAAATCATGTTGTTGTGTGTT